TCAGGCTCTGGTTCAGTCATGGGAGCTGGTGTGGGGACGCAGCTCCCTGTCCAACAGCTGGAGCACAGCGATGTGCCAGCGGAGGGAGGAATCGCTCCTTTTATGAATTTTTCTGTTCCTTAAAAACATTTTGTGTGGTGTTTTCATAGGCAAACTTGAAAGAATCCTATTTATTCAGTTCTGGATAATTTTTTTTTTTTTAAACTGAAGCCAGCACGTGATGAATGGACAGCAATAGGTGTGTGAGGTAATTTGGACTGGAGAGAAAGAAAATGGCTGTTAACGTAAAGTAATTTGGTAGAGATGGTTGAATCTTTGCATTTGGAAATAAAGCAGCACGTGGCCTCTTGCAGTGCCCTGCTGCAGGGAGGCACGGTGGGTCTGTTTTTTCCGAAGCTAAGCTGTTTTATGTTTTCTCCTGTTTTTTCACAACTATGCAAGGTAGAAGAAGGAGATTGTGCCAAATGTAATAATAATAGTTATCTTTCTAGATAATGAAACAAAACCTATAAATTCCGCCCAAATTATGTCAGTTCCAGGCCTGGCAATACTTGTAACTCACAGAAGTGTTCTGATACTGTCGTGGTTTAGTGATCACAATGTCCTGAAAAAGAAGTCACCAAAGAAAACCCAACCCCAAGCCCCGAGTGGCTGGATACTGGTGTGGGTGGAAGATCAGGGTGCTGGGGAGGGGGTGGCTGTTTATACCCCAAGGGAGCAGAGCACAGCTTGGGGCTTTATCCTGGCTGTGATGGGTACACCTCGCATCAACCCGGTGGGTGAAGTGTGGGTGAGTCTTGTTCATTAATGTGGACTTCTGCTCAGCTGGGTTTACACAACTGGGAGTTTCTTCTGATGAGACTTACATTAAAGCATCGACATCCATTGATAATGTTGGGACGAGGCCAGCTACGAGCTGCTGTGGTGATGTGACCTACGCGATCCATATTCCCCGATGTGCGTGTGTGCATACGTATAGTCTGATTTCTTGTTGGTGCTATTTTGCAGCAGTAGATTGTACAGCTTGTCTTCTCCCAGCATTAAATCATGAGATCGGTCCGTTTGCCTCTGCGTGTCCCTAAAGGATGATCGGGTTTTCATGCCAGAGAGCCCATTTTCAGAAACTGGCTTTTGTAACAAAAACGGGTGCCTCCCCTTGATAAATGCGGTTTGTCTATGGGTTACCAAAGGCCACCTTAGCGAAGAGTAGTGTCTCTGAAGGATGCTCTGTGCTTATTAGTGGGAGGGCTTGCTGTGCCGCTCTAGAGCAGGACTGAGGCTGTACGTACTGGGGATGTGCGCTGGTACGGCATGGGCTGCCGGCAGCTCTGCCTGCAGCAGCACTGAGTCATGGAGCCGGAGCTGAAGAACCCATTGGGACGGTTTACTCACCAGGTTTGAAAAAGAGAGACTTTCAGGTACGAACAAAACCTGCTCTGACCTGCTCTGTGCATGATCTGGGCGCATGCACTGATGCCATAGCAGAAACTCAGAGGGTTGCACCAGTATAGCTGCTTGCTGCACCTACCTTAGAGGTCTTAAGGGCTTGTCTACCCATTTTTACCCCAGTGTTGGAGATTGGAATTATGTTCTTCTTAAAAAGCTATAAAGGATAGACCAGACATGGAATTTCAGGGTAGTTCTAGTTTTTAAGATTTTTTGGTTTGTAGTTTCAAGGGCTTTCGCTCTTTCCTGGAGCGGTGGCGAGTGTTCTAGACTCCCAGCCTCCGGGGGTGGCGGGGCACAGAGGGGGTGTGTGTGACAGTGACAGTTATCCATAGTTAATCATTGTTATTAGCAAAGTGTAAGTGGATTTGGATATTTAATGACGGCAATTTTTAGTACACATGCATAAGGTGCGGTTGTTTACCTAATGTACAGATAAATTTTCTTGAGGTGGTTCATCAAGCACCTCGAGGATATCACTTTTCTCCGGAGCACTGAAGGATGATCGGCTGTTAGGATCTCCTGGACATAACACACAAGCTTGGTGATCTGAGCAGGGTGCCTTATTTAGAAAAACAAACAAAACCCCACAAAACCCCCTTTCAATTTATAGTGTATGATATTATGCACTGGCATATGAAATTAGTTCAGTATTTGAAACGTGCTAGTGCAAAATCTATAGCTAAGATCTTGAATACATTGGTGTATATATGTATATATAAGCACACCAGAAGTAATGATTATAAGCAAAACATAAGAGCTTGGTCTGATTTGAATAACGCTCTGACATCCGTCTAAGTGGTTTTTGAGTGACTTTATTTTAAGCAGAATATGCCTTTGAAGAACACAATTTATTCTGCTGCAGGTAAGTAAAGTTACAATTAAATTCCTGATCCTTGGCTTATGTTCCTCAAAATTAAAACCCCAGTATTTTATTCAGTCTCCTGATTAGGGATACATACATAATAAAGCTGGTTGTGAGCCACCTATTTAGTGTGGGGACATAAGATGAGGAAAATCATTTAAAGGTAGGAAAACAGCGTTACATTTACATGGTATTCTAGTTTGTTGTTTAGCTTTTGGTTGGTTTGTTCGGGGGTTGTTTTTTGGTGTTTTTTTTTTTTTTTTTTTTTTTTTTACACTGAGTTCTTATAAATATTTAAGGATAAGTAGCTTATGGCTGAAGCTGCACTGAGTTCAGAAACTTCAGTAGCTGATACCACGTGCATTTGCACATGAGCAAAACCTGCGCCTGGAACAGCTGTATGCAGCGTGGCTGCGGGTGTGTGTGTAACTCGTTGAGCTTAGATTTGTGGTGGTGTTTAGGGTTTGGGTTTTTTTTTGCCCAGTCCAGAAGGGCTGAGGGATGGGTTTCCACTGTGGAATCTGGAAATGCAAATGGTGACATCAGCCGGTGTCAGGCTGGTTTCCTCCGTGTGGGAGGCTCTGTGCTTACGTATGGAGATCAGTGCTATTACAGAACCCAGACTGGTTGGGGTGGGTCCATCTGGTCCAACCCCCCTGCTCACCCAGAGCCGGTGGCCCAGGACCCTGTCCAGATGGCTATTATCTCCAAGGATGGAGACTCCACCACCTCTCTGGGCAACCTGTGCCAGTGCTCGGGCACCCTCACAGTGAAAAAGTGTATCCCGATGTTCAGAGGGACCCTCCCGTGTTCCAGTTTGTGCCCACAGCCTCTGGTCCTGGCACTGGGCACCGCTGGGAAGAGCCTGGCTCTGTCCTCTTGGCACCCTCCCTGCAGGTATTGGTGTACACGGATGAGATCCCCCTGAGCCGTCTCTTCTCCAGGCTGAGCAGTCCCAGCTCTCAGCCTTTCCTCATAGCAGAGATGCTCCAGCCCCTGAATCATTTCAGTGGCCCTTCGCTGGACTCTCTCCAGTATGTCCATGTCTCCCTCGTACTGGGGAGCCCAGCACTGGACCCAGCACTCCAGCTGTGGCCTCCCCAGTGCTGAGCAGAGGGGAAGGATCCCCTCCCTCGACCTGCTGGCCTCGCTCCTCCTGATGCAGCCCCGGGGACACCCTTGGCCACCTCTGCTCGTGGTCAGCTTGGTGCCCACCAGGTCCTTCTCTGCCAAGCTGCTTTCCAGCCGGGTGGCCCCCGCCTGTGCTGGTGCCTGGGCTTGTTCCTCCCCAGGGGCAGGACCAAAGCAGGGCTATTGGCAGGCAGGTCTGGTAGTGTGAGTCCTCAATTTCACAAGCAAATTGACTGAGTGGATTTTTAAATGTGGTAGGTAACACATTCTGTCAGAACCTCTGTTTAAGAGGCTTTTGGACTTCCTCTAGGAATTTTTTTTCCATAGGGATCATATAGTATGTGCTGAAATAATTAAATAATTTTTAAAAATTTGTGTGGATTTAATGTTCAGAAGTCTTTTGTATTGATAGTGAATCCAAGTACTTGCTAGTTGTGTGGAGATGTAACAGAGATGTGAATAGCCCAAACGATCATCTTTGGATAGCAAGGTGAATGTGTGCCCAGCTATTCCCAGCAGGTACAGCGCGTATAGCAGCAGCAGGAGAAAATCCGTCTGCTTCCAAGATAAGACAAGCTTGCTTATGAGAGAGGATCACCCTGGAGTTGGGTTTGAGCGCATACGTAATTTGGACTTTTCTGCTTAAGATCCTAGGAGTTCAGCCTGAACACCCTTTGATGTTTTTGAATGTGAGACCTTCCTAACGGGAACTGGGCCAGGAGCTGTTAAACTGGTTTCACAGCGATCTCGGAGCAGTCACCCCTGGATAATTCTTAATCGTTATCTGCTTACAGTGAATCTGATACAGCTTCTGTGAAACAAAAGGGTTTTTCTTAATGCATGTCATGAAAGAGCTCACCTTTGGGGGATGTTTTCAGTGCCTGGCACCTGTGCTTCTGTCTCGGCGCTGCAGCGTTGGTCTGCGGTCGTCGTGGTGAGTCATGCCTCGCCACGCGGCAGTGCCATAGAAGGGGTGGGTCAGCCACCTCTGGTGCTTACACGGACTCAGGCATGCAGCAAAATTTAAAGTATTAGTACTGAAATGTAGAAAAATACATGAAAGCAAGCCAGAAAAATCCATTTCATAATCGAGGAGAAGGCTAACTTTTCTTCATTGACGTCTTATATAAACATACAACTCTCAAAATGTCCTAGCTAGATGCTGTGCCAACACTAACAATCTCCAAGTGAGAAATAAAGCTTGTGAAATAGGAGGTAAAATATAGGTGCAGTCCTCCCCTTCCCCTGCCACCAGGGCATCGGTGGACACCGTGTGGGCAGGAGAAAGCCCCGGCTGTGAGACCTGCCCTCGGAGCACTGGGAGGCCCGGGGCGGTGGAAATGCTGAAGAAGTTGACCTGGTGAAGAGCAGCCTCGCTTGAGGCCATGACCTACCCTTTGCTGTTAGGGATTTCGTGGGACTCTGGCTGTGAATGACGGCACTGGGATGCTTTCTCTAGTGCTCAGCGAGGGCTTTTCAAACACCAGAAGCTTAGTGAGAAAACACGATGGCGATATTTTTGGTACAGGCTGCCTAACATTGGTGTTTTCTTTCTTCCTCAGCAGAATTCTGCCGCATTGACAAACCCTTGTGCCACGATGAAGACGAGCAGCTCAGCTTCGAAGCCGTCCGCAACATCCACAAGCAGATGGACGATGATGCCAATGGCAACGTGGACGTAGAGGAGAGCGACGAGGTTAGTGCTCGGCTGCTTCACCGTCCTTCTCCCACGCAGCGCTCTGCTCTTGTAGAGGGCTGTTCTGTTACGGGTAATGCTGTTGTGGCGGGGTGCCTGAAACTCAGGTGTGCAAACTCTTCGGCTGTTGGCTGCCTATCTCTTCATCTGGCAGAGGAAGCAATGTACCATCTTGAGCCAAGTTTCTGATCCAAATGGTGTATTTCAGTACTGTAATCTTTAGTGTCTATGGCTTTTCCTCTGTTCTGGGGTTTTTTAGCCACTCAATCTTTTTCTACACACAAGGTATTATCAATTTATTCCAACACTGAAAGACAAGGAGATTGGTTTACATGATTGTTGTTATTATTTCACTCCTTTTTCAATTGTGGGGTTGGGAAATACCTCTGAATTCTGATCGAGCCTCTCTGTCACTGTTGAGCAAATACACTGGCTGCTGTCTCTTCACATTACAGTGTTTACTACATTCTTGCACCAACCCAGCTGAAACGGTTACAGTACCTGTGTGCATACTGCTGAAAAAAGGAACAATTTTTTGTTGTCTTGGCCTTGGAGATTTTAGCTGATAACTTTATTGAAGAGAAATAAAATTGTTGTTGTTTTCTTACATAAGCACCAATAGCAATAAGTGACTACTGGAAAAGGGAAAGCTGCTTGTTTATAATGTTGCCTCAGTTGCAGCGGATGCTCGTTTACAAGGCTCTGTTCAAGGAATTTTGTCTTATAAGGAGACTGGAGTCTAAATAAGAAAGTCAAAGTGTTGGAAGCTGAAAGAAAGCAGACTGGTGAAGGGATCTGCTGCCAGTCACAGGCAGTTCTCCAGTCCCAGTTCATAGAATTGTAGAAGGGTTTGGGTGGGAAGGGACCTCTAAAGGTCACCTAGTCCAGCCCCCCTGCCGTGGGCAGGGACATCTGCAACTCGATCAGGTTGCTCAGAGCCCCGTCCAGCCTGACCTGGAATGTTTCCAGGGATGGGGCATCCACCACCTCTCTGGGCAACCTTCACCACCCTCAGCGTAAAACATTTCTTCCTTAGATCTAGTGTGAATCCACCCTCCTTTAGTTTAAAGCCATTCCCCCTTGTCCTGTCGCAACAGGCCCTGCTAAAAAGCCTGTCCCCATCTTTTTTATCAGCCCCCTTTAAGTACTGACAGGCTGCAATAAGGTCTCCCCGAAGCCTTCTCTTCTCCAGGCTGAACAACCCCGACTCTGTCAGCCTTTCCTCATAGCAGAGGTGTTCCACCCTCTGATCATTTTCGTGGCCTCCTCTGGACCCGCTCCAACAGGTCTGCGTCTTTTCTGCTGAGGTGCTGAGGACCCCCGAGCTGGATGCAGTGCTGCTGGGGGGCGGCACGGAGTGTCTCACCAGAGTGGAGTAGAGGGGCATTTCTCCCAATCCCTCAATCCACAGCAAAACCACTGCCTGGCTAGGGATGTGCTGCCTGGGCTCAGGAGGGCGATGCGTGGCTCTAGAGCTCCACAAGTTGCTTGAAGGGTGGAGGCGTAGATCTCGTGCCCAGTCCGCGTCCTGCGACTGAGGCTGGGCTGTGCTGGGAGTAAGGGCTGTTGAATGGTCTGAATTCTTGGCCCCGGAAGGAGGCGAGCCAGGAGCTGCTGAGACCGCTGCTGTTGGTGAGCCGGTACCCAGCGAGCACCCGGCCGGGAGGTGGATGGTGGGGCTGGCAGCCGCGTGTGCTGTGCTGCGGGGCTCTGCTGAATGCGCCCTCCGCACCTCGGGCCTTTGCCTGATGAAGATGTCGGTTACGTCTTGAAAGACGGCTTGTGGGAGAACTTGATGTAATCTTTGTGTGGGGTTGGCAGTTTACAAAATTGTGACCTGCTGCTTCTGGGCCGAAAGGCATCTCTTCCTCTGCACCCCCCGCCCGCCATTCTGATGCGGATGGCAAACTGAAGGCATATGACAGCCTGCACAGCGCTGTCCCGAGAACTGCACAACAACCGCTCCTTCACGAGCCCTTCTCCCAGGTGCTTTATTCCCACTTCTCAGATAAAGAAACCGCAGTCTGGGATGGTTAAATCTCCCACTCAGACTAACGCAGCAGTTCGGTTTATCGGGCAGATCCAGCCACCACAATGGCTCTTCAGTTTCCCGGGAGGCGACAGTCTCCAGGGACGTGGCACAGCAGCCTGGAGCTGAGCACCCTGTTTATGAGGAGCCAGCGGTGTTGGTTGGCTGTTCCCAGGTTGCAGTGCTGTTCCCTCTGCCTAAATCCCACTTCACGGAGTAATTAAAACAAATGAAAAGCTTTCAATTGCATTTCCTAAAATTTGGTGTTTTCCCTGGAGGCAGTTCTCTGCTCAGCATTGCTTTGCAGCTGCAACTCTGCCTCTCCCAGTGACTCATGGGGTAGCCTCAGGCAAATTGATTCACTTGGTGCATCCTACTCGCCTGTTATTAAATTGAGGATAAGCCTCATGTTGTTAGGGTTGGGCATTAACTAGCAATTTTTATGTCTCTCTGAGCAAATCTTGCCCTCTGTCTCGGTGGACCAGTTGAGAGCTTATTGTACAAGCACTAACAGTATTATCTGTTCAAAGCCTTTGTACTGTCAGCTCATTTTACAGTATAGATATTGCCATTGTGTGAGTAATAAAATCTGTTTTTCTAAAAGGCTTCAGAATCACTGCCTTGCTGCCATTACTAGTCAGTCTTCAAACCCCTCATAACTGGGTCAGACCGATGCCCGAGCCCCTTGCATGGCTTGTCTCGGTCGCAGAAGCTCTCCTCCGGTTTCTGGTGCGTGCATTATCCCCTCCTGCTCATTAGAGGCAGAGCTGCCAGGACGGTGTTGCTGAGCTTGGCGACCAGACCGTCGCGTGTCCCTGCTGGGAGTTCTCGCAGCGTTCCCCCTCTCCCAGGTGCTCCCAGCAGTCTCCTGTTAACTTTTCCCCTGCCCGTACCAGTTGCCACCTCTCACTCTTTGCCATCGGCATGGGTCTGTGGGTAGCTTGAAGGAGTAGATAAATGTGGAATTTTTCATATAAGGAAGTTTGGTTTTAGTAAAAATCTGTTTTGGCTAATTGGGACAGCCTGTATTAATTGAATTCCTTCCTATAATTTACCCATGCTTTAAAATGCTGCTGTAAGGATATGACAAATAGGATAACCCTCAGGAAAACCCATCCTTCTCCCTCCAACCCCAAGTGCAGCCCAGTGCCGGGCTCTGCCATGAGAAACGCGTTCTGGCTGTCGGTGTGTGCCGCGAGGTGGGATTTTGCTGGCGGGAGGAGGAAACCTGGAGGCTGGCAAAGGCAGCCGGGCGTTAAACCGAGCCCGGCGGGCGCTGAAACACC